ACACACACACACACACACACACACACACACACACACACATGCACACAAACAAACTCATGTTGTGATCTATGTGCAGGTTACAGCTGTGACATCTGAACTGAGTGATGAGCGTTTCCGCGGCGATGCCGTGGGCCAGGCTCTGGATGTGGAGAGGGCAGAGAGACTTCGACTCAGCAGGGAGAACAAAGACCTGCAGGTAAGACAAAAAAAATCCTGTTACTTGTTACTCAGTTTACAAGTCCTGTTACTTACCTCGGTACTTTTTTAACTATAGGCTCGCCTAGATCAGTGTAAAGTGACCATGGAGACCCTGGAGAAGCAGCTGGAGGAGGAGAAGCAGAAAGCTCAGGCTAAGGAGAGTCAGAGAGGAGCAGTGACAGGTAAAGAGTTGTCCTAGGACCAATTTAGTGTTGTCCTGCATGTTTGCCAGGACCTACACAGAGGTACATGATTTTTGAATCCAGGAGTGTTTTCTGAAGCCAAAAATATTTACACCTAAGCCAATAAAAAACAGCTTCTTCCCAAAGTACCACTGATAGCCTTCATCAGCGATGACTCCAAAACAAACCCCTTTCTCCAGAAGACACATTTACTTGAACGGTATATATGTATATATAATATGTTATATAATTATAATTATATAATATAATTATATAATAATATATATTTTTTTGCCTTTCTCCAAAATATAGACTAAGAGTTAGGATATTACCTAAAGCCTCAAAACCCAGTCATATGATTCTTCTGCTACGTTTCTCCAAGACAGAAAGCTTGTCCCCAATGTTTGGGGATGAAAATTTTTGCACAAAAGTTAAAATATGTTTAAAATGCTCTGTAGTCATCTCTATTCATTATGCCTGGTGAACAATCTGTGGCTCAGCTGTATGAATGTGTGTGTGTGTGTGTTGGGTGATGGGATTTATAGTAGAAAGGAATTTGAGTGTTCATACTGACTAACAGGTGTTATATAAGTACCATTCCATTTACCATTTGATTTGAACTCACCAAAAGAACAATCTGCAAAACTCAAAATATGAATCAAATTATTCATAAATATCTTATTTTATCACACATGAAATCTAGTGTTGAAATAGAGAAATGTCACAACATATAAAGTGACTCCAACAAAGTCATATCCATTCCTCCACATCTTGCAGAAACTGAACTGGTCATGCAGCTGGAGTGCTGCCAGACAGAGATGGAATTTGTTTGCAGACGACTGAAACAGACAGAGGAAAAACTTGAGACAGAAAGACAAACTCGACAAGAGCTCGATGCCAAGGTGAGACAGGATGCTGAAAGGTGAACAGAGCACTGATGGGTGATTAGTTTCTGAAGTTACTTATTATTACTAAAGTTATGATTTGTAATGTTACTCTGTTTTTGTGAAGGTGGCGACATTGCAGGCCCAGCTGGAGCAGTCCAGGAGGAGTGTGACAGAGGTGAAACGTCACTGTCGTCATTTGACCTCTGACCTTCAGGATGCCCGGGTCCTTACTGACAGTCTGCAGAGCCGCATGCATGAACTGGACCGCAAGCAGAGAAGGTTTGTTTTAACCCCACGCTGTATAACTTTCTTTCATATCAGCTAAGATTATGATTTGTCATATCAATATGCAGCTGTGTATCTTTGTGTTTTTCTGCATTTCTGGTATAATCCTTAGTTTTATCTTGTGTCGTGTGTTTCTGAATGTCGGTTCCTTCGAGTGCCTGTGTGGAATTATTTGTCTGAGTTTATTTACTACTACTACTATTACTAATAATAATTATATCTTCCAAGAAAATATTTTCCTCTGACCCTCTGATATTATTGTTATTGTTTTATTTTCTTCTGTTGGAAAAAACGTCTAGCTTTCCCCCCTTTTTCTTTAATATTCTAGGGAGATTTAACTATGAATCAAGACTTTTACTCTTTTCTGCTGCTGAAATTGCAACTACTAGAACACAGAACATCCCCCTGTTCAATTAATAAAGTTAATTTCATTTTTCCCGCCATCAAACAAATGAGATGTGTCAAAAAGTGATACACAAAAATTGTCGATATATACTTCTTTACAAATATGATGATATGCTGTTTGTATGTGTTCATACAGGTTTGATAACAAGCTGACTCAGGCTCTGGAGGAAGCTGAGTGTGAGCGAGAGCAGAAGGACAAAGCCTTTCAGGAAAACACAGCGCTGGGAGCTGAAATATACAAATTGCGCTGCAGCCAACAGGTGGGTTGGCTTCCGTGTTGACTGTGTGTAGATTTTTATATGAACTGATTAAAAGATTTCTGCTATTTCACAGTAATGTCATGTAATGATGTGTTTGTGGTTACTTCAGTAATTGTGCAGATGCCAAAAGCATCAAACCTCAAATGTACCATATTAAAAAGCTTAACAACATTAAAAATCATAATGATTTGGTCTTTGTCGCCCCTTTTATACAGCTCTAAAATCCAATTAAGCTTTTTAATAACTCACCTGACTGGATAGCCTCTAAAACCGACCTCTGGACTGTGTTGTTTGTGACTTAACAAACAACACAAAGCAGCATTAAAATATAATGGCATCAGTTGTGCTTACACCGAAGATTCAAAATACACAAACAGATGGTGATGCCACTTTTGTTGCATACATCTGTAGACTCTATGTAATATTAAATAGTCTTCAGAATTATTCAGTGGATTTACATGTGATTTTATGGAGTAGTATCCAAAAGTTTGATTCAACAGGTTAACCTGGAAGAGAGTCTCAAATGTAATGTGGAAATGACAGCTGTCACATGTAATTCATGATAGGCTGTTGCTCTGATCAAATCAACCAGACCATACTGTAGGTTGATGACTCTGAGACAGCTATGTTACAGGAACTGTGTGGAGTTAACGTCACATCTGACCCAAATGTTGATCCTGGACACTACATGTGTACAGAATGAAGGCTGACCTGCTGCTGAGGAAACAATTAGCTTGTCATGTGTATGTCTGTCTTCACATGTAAATAAAAGTAAAGAACAAATGATTAAGGATAAAGTTACAAAGCATCTGACTCTCACTTTCAGGGTGATATCACTATGCTGTGGCAAAGAAAAGTTACATCGGTCCCAAAAGTTAGAAATAGTTTAGTTTAGTTGGTTTAGCAGCATTTTGATTTTTCGTGTTTGTGTTCCTACATGATATTGTGTTCTGGATCATATCCCAAATTGCAAAACCTACCAAACCTCCTTGAGCTAGCTCATGCTGACTAACCTGTGCCAACTTCCAAGATGCTGCACTGACCAGTGGACAAAGATGAAATCTGTAAAGGAGCATGAGAATGAAATGTCTTAAAGTGAGAAACTCCAGTGTTGTGTGGATGTGTGCAGGAAAGCCAGGCAGAGGTTAGCCGTCTGCAGAAGCAGAAGGAGGACCTGTGTGCTCAGATCCGTGACCTCAGCCTACCTGTTGACCTTGCCTCAGAGTCACTGCCTGCCCTCAAGAAGCAGCTTCGCCTCCTGGAGAGCCAGGTCAATGAGAAAGCAGAGGAAATCACCAAGCTCACTGCCAAAATACAGCAGCAGCAACAGGTGATACAGCACACACAGAATATATTGCTGTCCCTGCTGCTTCTTCCCTCACCATTGTCTTTGTCCGTGTCCTTTAGATCCACATGCGGTTTGAGATAGAGGTGGAAAGGATGAAGCAGATCCATCAAAAGGAGTTGGAAGATAAAGACGAGGAGTTAGAGGATGTCCACAAGTCCTCTCAGAGACGAGTGGGTTTAACAAATACACTTACAAACTGACTGTTTCACAACCAATCATTTTAACATACAGTACATGCTTAAAAAACACATATTTTTAAATTTGTTTTATTTTTTAATAACAGCAAAACCACATGACTTTAAGGTTGGATAAAACTCATCACATACAAGACAGTTTGTTGAAGTTTTGCCAGCAGATCTTAAAATGAGAGATTCTTTAAAATGAACGTTTTCCACAGAAACAGGCTCTTTCAGTGAGATCACTAGAGTTGTACAACAGCAGTTATAATGCACTGCAGACACCAGTGGTTTTCCCTCCTCGCTAACGCGGGACTGTGACATTCCCTGATTACTGATCATGCTGTGCAAAGTGAAGTAGTTAAAATGTCTGACCATTCTCCTCTGATTTCTGACATCATCAAGACATTTTCATATAGAGAACTGCTGCTCACGGGATTTTTTCTTTTTTTTTTACAAATTCTCTGTAAACCCTAAAGATGTTTGTGTGGGAAAATCCCAACAGATGCCACAGTTTCTGTGGCAGCCGGTATAGTATTAGTCAAGTCACATGGGAAAGATTATCACATAAATATTACAGAGCAGTAATTCTGCTTTAGGCGCTGACATCATCATTCCTGGTAAGAAAAGCCTTATCCTCAGCATCATATTAAGACTTTTGGGAGAGATGATAAAAACTTCTTCCACACAAACTAAACTCAGCTCCTATAGGCAGGGCAGAAGAAGCTTCTGAAATTTTTGTAAGCCCTCTTCCAGCAGCATTAGCTTTAAAAGCGAGTAAACAAAGCTCTTAGTGGCTAAACATTTATCATAGATACCCTTTATTACAGGATCACTAGTTGCTCCTGGAAACTGTAAGGTATACTAAAGTCACAAAACATCACACTTGGCTATAAACTGCACCACTGTATGCCTAAGGCTATGCTCTGATGAACCCAACAAATCATCTACAAAAAGCAGGGATGCTACTTAATCCCAACAAGCTCCCCATGAATATCACAAACTGAATCAGAACCGCCTGACACTTACAAATTCATTGTGTGTCTGTGTGTGTAGCTGAGGCAGCTGGAAATGCAACTGGAGCAGGAGTATGAGGAGAAACAGATGGTGATTCATGAGAAGCACGACTTGGAAGGACTCATTGCAACTCTGTGTGACCAGGTAAAACACACACACACACACACACACACACACACTGCTTGTCTGCACTCTACATTGACATCTTCACCTTTCTGCATTCCTTCCTGGCTGAAGAATTGTAAAATATTATTACTACTATACTTAAACAAATATCTAATACATTCCAAAAAAAAAATATTTACAGACATCATGGTAACAACTACATGTGCACATACAACTCTATTACTGGAAAATTGTGCAGAGATCAAAAGTAAAAATAATAATGTTACCCATCAGTGTGAAATGATTAATATTACTGCTGCATATGTTTAAGGTTGAGCTTATTTGGAATACTTTGTATTCTGTTTAATGTCCAGCATTGTATTTTAAAAGTCATATGTTTGCACTGGCTGTCGTGTGAGGACCATATACCAGTGGAAAAAAACCTAAACTAAACAATTGTTCATGACCTCAGAAACACAGGCCTAAATCTTGATTTTTTTTAAAAGTATATTAAAAATATCCATAAAAAATAACTAGCTGAATCGAAAGACTTGAGCAGTGTGCGACATGGCTTACTGTTAATATCTACAGTGGAATTGGTCTCTGAATGTGGGAATGAGTGTCTCATAGAATGTGTGAATCTGAAAGTGCTGCTGAGCCTGCATCTGGTCCAGTTGCCTCTTTTATTAGAGCAGACAAATTGAGATCATCATGGTTACATTTTTCCTTGCTAATGTACTAAATGAGTTACACCTTTTTTACACTCCATCTTCTCTACATCACACATTTTGGCCAAGCTTTGTTAGAGCTTTGTTAGATGCGCATGCCCAAACCACGAGAAAAAAGAAAAAAGTTGCTAGCCTCTTAGGTTACCCAACTTCAGGCCTGAGCCATGCACGCTGAGGCCTGAGCCATGCACTACTTTCCATCACAAAAACAGCACAAAAATATGTGATAGAAAATAGTGCATAGCGACCGTGGCTCAGGGGGTTGGGAAGCGTATCTGTAACCGGAAGGTCGCCGGTTCGATTCCCGGGCTCTCTGTCCTGGTCGTTGTGTCCTTGGGCAAGACACTTTACCCTACTTGCCTACTGGTGTTGGCCAGAGGGGCCGATGGCGCGATATGGCAGCCTCGCTTCTGTCAGTCTGCCCCAGGGCAGCTGTGGCTACAACTGTAGCTTGCCTCCACCAGTGTGTGAATGTGAGAGTGAATGAATAGTGGCATTGTAAAGCGCTTTGGGTGCCTTGAAAAGTGCTATATAAATCCAATCCATTATTATTATTATTATTATAGCTCAGGAAGACTTGGAGAAATCACTGTCTGTGAACATAGCTCACTGTGCTGTCCAAATGCAGAGAAGAAGCCACAGGTTGTTTGTTCCACTGTTTGTATGCACTGTGTGTGCACTTTTTTTGCAGACTGGTGAGCCTCTTCCCAAGTTTACTTCTGAGTAACTCTGCCTCACTAAGATGTTCTTTTTATACCCAGTCATGTTACTGAGCTGCTGCCAGTCAACCCGATTAGTTGCAAAATCGTCCTCCAGCTGTTTTGCTTTAGTACCACATCCATTTCCTTTCCAAACTTTTTTGAGATGTGTTACTGCCATCAACTTCATAAGGAGTTCATATTTTTCTTACATTTTTCTTAAATTTTCTCAGTTTGAGAAAATCTACCTTTTAACATATATATAAAATGTGACTAAAGATTTCTCCCATTTAAAACATAATGTCGAGATGAACAGAATCTGTTTTTGGGATTTCTTTACCTGGATGATTGAGCATGCATCAAGACATTGCATTGCAATATTTATATTTTACAGTGTCCCAACCAATGTTCCCTCTAATTTTTCATGTGTCTGAGCAAACACACAAACTCCCTGAGCGGACACTTGGACCACTGTGAGCAACAGCAGACGTGTGCACTGTGGTCACGCCAGCATCGAATCCATCCAAGTTACATGGTTTATTAAAATAATTAAATTACAGCGTTTACATTTATGTTAGACTACTTTTAATTAACTGCTTTAACCCACTTACAATGAAAATGTAAAAAAAATCTTGTTCATGACCTGTGTATTATTTATTTATTTTTTGCTCTGACTTGTATTATGTGTCTGAGTCTGTGGTCTGGGAGAGAGTCCTGTAACTCTCTGCCTGCAAAATAAAGTATATAATGACCAATGTTGGGCAATTAATTATATAGTTACTTCTTCAAAAAAGTAACTGAGTTATGCAAACAACAAAGTTTTTTGCAGCTGTTTACCTAAAAATGCAGCCAAGGCGTTTTTTTAAATTAAATATTTCAAACTATTTACAGAACAATCAGCTGTTCTGCATCAAATCTGATGCCACACAAATTATTTGTGCCTCTCAAAAAAATAATTTCTGTCCACTATGAGATAAAGAAGAACAACAGCCTGATATCTGCAGGCCTGACAGCAGGAGATGTATCACTGCTGTAACACCTGTAACATTCAGCAGTCGCCTCATTGTTCTGACACACACAACAAAACTATTGACTACACTACACACTAACTACACAAGATTTGTACTAAACGTGGCAAATCTCTCACATCTCAAAACACCGCCGTCACTCCTAAAACTTCCCCCTCCCTAAACAACTAAATGCCATGTTGCCATATCATTTTTTGATTGGTCGACATGGTACATTTTTCCACCAATAGGAAAGGCTGGGGGAGAGGTGGGTTGTGGGGACAGGGGTGAGGGAGGGGGGCGTTTGCTCACAGGTGGAGAGTGCTTTCGAGCGTTTTCCTTATAAAACGCCGTTTTTACTTTTTCTTCCTGCAGTAAATATAAACAACGATAGTATTCAGGAAGAAAACAAACATTGCATACATTTTTATCATAACTCTGGTTTTACGTGGCCTATCAAGATAATTTAAAAACTGTTATAGTTTTTAAATTATGGTATAGTCCACACTTTTTCCATCAATTGTTCCGTCTGTCCTGCTCACATCTCCAATGGTTGTACACGTTGTCATTAAGTGGCTTCACTCTACATCAGCCGCTTTGCTCGCTAAAACACCGGTGTCGGCACATAAGGACGCTGTCATAGCCTGTCAGCAACGTTGATTAGCTGCGTATATACGAGTGTGAATCGCATCATTGGCTGGACTATGGGATAAGGTGACATCGCTCTAATCCCATACTGGAGCAGCCAGTCACTTACTGACTAACACTGCAAAACAGAATTGTTAACGTATTAATTTTAATTTCAATTCAGGTTAGATTTTTTTTTTGTGTGTGTGTGCACAACACAGATTTTCTGTGCACAGAGACGTGCCAGCAGTGCGCAATTGCGCACGCACGCAGCTTAGAGGGAACGTTGGAACATTCTTACAATTGCAGTTGTACTTGATACTTTCTAAGGTTATTTAAGGTTGTTAAATGAAAAGTTAAACAGTGCATCACCAGCATAGTAGTATTAAGACATTAAGCAGATTTGAATTAAAACAGAGGAAACTGAAGGATCAACTCGCAGTGACCCTGATTGAAAGAGAAGCACAAAAACACACATAGAATATGAATGATGCCCAATGAAAACTACTTGTGAGTGTGCAAAACTAGTAAAAATCACCCTATTTGAATAATCTGAATATCACTTCTAATTTTGAGTTCACGGTGATGTCCTGTGACGTCAATGAATGTGTGCCTGGAACTTATCAAAGATAGGATAGAGTTACTTTTACTAATTCAGTTATTCATTTAGAAGAGCTTTATTCTAAGGTGTCACACTTTACAGGTGGGACACAGAGACTTTGATGTTGAGAAGAAGCTAAGGAGAGATCTGAAGCGAACTCACGCCCTCCTGGCTGATGCCCAGCTTCTTCTTGCTACTATGGAAAGCTCAGGGCAGAACCTACCCAACAGCAGTAAAGACCAGATAGAGCATCTGCACTTCCAGGTACGTCCACTTTTACATTCACCTTTACCTTGACAAACCTGCTCTAGTGTCACCTGCTGCTCTGCTGGAGAAACACTTCCCATGTCTCCATTTAGCTTGAGGAGAGCGAAGCAAGGCGACTTGAGGCTGAGAGCATTCAGGCGACTCTCTCCCAGGAGCTGGACAACAATCAGGCTGAGCTAGAAAACATCTGCAAGCAGAAGAGTGTGGTGAGAGTTTTATTTTATTGTGCATTGGCAGGCATGCGACCCATGGAAGGTAAAGAAGCGAAAGCACTCTTTGTTGTGTCTACTGACTTGTTAAGCTCTGAAAAAACAATGTACAACTCTAGTGATCTCACTTGCTTTGCACACTCTGTGTGCGTTTGCAACTGGAAAATAAAACATGGTGATGTGAGTGTGTTCTGATGTGCTTGATACTTACGGTCCTGAATGTAAATATTGCATATTTAATCAGACATCATAACTTTAGACACAGACTGTTTGTCTTCTTGTCTCAACTTCGTTTACGTAATACTAAAACTGCACATTACTTGAAATTAAATAAAAACATAGCTAATTCTAAGCAAACTTGACAGGATCACTTGTGATTTCATCACTTTCTGTCTTCTTATTTTGGGTACAGAAAACACTCTTTAGATTAAATAGTAAAAATGAAGAGTGTGGAGTAGTCTTCCACTTATGTTTTTATCTTCCTGAGTGCAGGTGGATGAAAACTTAGCTCTGCTGCAGCAGGAGAAGGTGGACCTGTTGAAGAGGCTCGAAGAGGATCAAGAAGACCTAAATGAACTTATGAAGAAACACAAAGCGCTCATTGCGCAGGTACTGCTTTTTAGCTGAAATCCTTCAAATCCTGTTGATGACCTAAGTCATGATTCACTTCAGGTGACTTCCTCTTGCTTTGTCCCCTTCAGTCATCCAGTGATATTGCTCAGATCAGAGAACTGCAAGCTGAACTGGAGGAGGTGAAGAAACAGAAACAGTCTCTCCAAGAAGAGGTATCTTTGCTTTGACAGTCAGAAATGAAAAGGATTACTCGGGGGTTTATGAACCAATTGTGCTTTTGAAATTAGCTGGGATGAGGTTGTGATGGATTCATGGAACATTTAACCTGCTTGTTGCAAGTCTGAATACACATGCCAGCTTCAGGTGGAGCACGTTCACGCTTTCTGATATATCTGCACGTTGATCCTCTAAATGTTTTTGGCTTGCAACTCAGCTCCAGCAGTGTGTATCGAGGGTGCAGTTCCTGGAATCGTCCACTGTGGGGCGCAGCATTGTCAGTAAACAAGAGGCACGTGTACGTGACCTGGAAAATAAATTAGAGTTTCAGAGAGGGCAAGTGAAGAGGTTTGAGGTAAGCTCGGATGATTCATCTACACTTGTTACCATGCGAGAACATGCCTGCAGCTCCTACGTCTCCCGTAGGTGCTGGTGCTGCGGTTGAGGGACAGCGTGGTTCGTCTGGGAGAGGAGCTGGAGCAGAGCGCACAGGCCGAGGCTCGGGAGAGAGAGAATGCCCGCTATTACCAGCAGCGTGTGCAGGACATGAGACTGGAGATGGAGGAGCTGAGCCAGGCAGAGCAGGAGAGCAGCCGCAGACGCATGGAGCTGGTAATCACACCTTGTAATAACCGATATCATGAGCGATGGTTATTTTACTGTTGGCAAGCAATAAAATAATAATCGGTCCAGTATTATGTAAAGTCGAAGCTGATTTTAGTAAGACTCTTTTTCACTTTAATGAAATAATTCATTTCAGTTTTAACACTCACCATGTATATCTACATGTGTTTGACCACTGCATTTAAACACATTAATGTACAATAATCATTAGCGAGTGCCAACATATTATTAGTTCACAACATATTCAGTTTTCTGTTTATTAGCAATGGTTATTACAACATGTCACCATATCAGTTATCATAAAAAGTTTCCTTGTATTGTCTGTTGACTAATCCTGTATCAGAACTTGAGTGAGCAATTTTTGCAGCAAACTAAATCTGGGGCAAAGACTGTGTTTGTTTGGGACTGTGAAGGACGTGTTATTAATGCCAAGTCTGAAATTTTGGTGTAACTAACCTGAAAATAAAAATAAACAAGAAGCACCACAAAAGTGCAAACCTCCACTAGGGCAGCTCATTCTCTGAGCAGCATCCCCTGTTAAAGGAACAGTATTGCATTTTGCATTTATTCATTTAGGCTTCTTTGTTATTTTTAAATGTACTTCAAGAAGTTTGTATTGCTGTAAAAATCAGATAAGGATAGCATGACAGAGGTTTGTGTACAGAAACATTATGTAGGAGCAGGTAATGGATAAAATGTATGGATATGTAAATAAACAGACATGAATAACTTAGCTTATTATATAATATTATGCTGTAGTGTATTTCTAACTAACTACGCAGCTCATTGTCAGTGATATATACACATTTTGGGGTCAGCTTCAAAGAAAAGTAGTGAAATGTAAAAGTGAGGTCAAAAGTCAAACGTGACATGAAATTTAAACTTTATAGGGTATTTTCTATACATTGAGAATACACATCACACTTGTAAGAATTGTAGATTCTAACTTAAAAGGCTTTTTGACAGTTTTCCATGAATAAATCATGTTGACCTTGAAGTCATCGGTGTATGGAAGAAAATTTTAATGGAACTTTTCGAGCTGTTGTGTTTAAAGACAGAATGACACTGGTGGACAAAATGCTACCAAAAGCATACCCTTCTTGGCAGAGTTAAATGTGCAGGTTACAGTCTAATGATTTTATTCATATAGCACATTTAAACACGTATCCTATTCTATTCAATTCAATTTTATTTATATAGCGCCAAATCACAACAAAAGTTGCCTCAAGGCGCTTCATAGATTCAGAGAAAAACCCAACAATCATGTGACCCCCTATGAGCAAGCACTTTGGTGACAGTAGGAAGGAAAAACTCCCTTTTAACAGGAAGAAACCTCCGGCAGAACCAGGCTCAGGGAGGGGCGGGGCCATCTGCTGCGACCGGTTGGGGTGAGAGAAGGAAGACAGGATAAAAGACATGCTGTGGAAGAGAGACAGAGGTTAATAACAGATATGATTCAATGCAGAGAGGTCTATCAACACATAGTGAGTGAGAAAAGTGACTGGAAAGGAAAAACTCAATGCATCATGGGAATCCCCCAGCAGCCAACGTCTATTGCAGCATAACTAAGGGAGGATTCAGGGTCACCTGATCCAGCCCTAACTATATGCTTTAGCAAAAAGGAAAGTTTTAAGCCTAATCTTAAAAGTAGAGATAGTGTCTGTCTCCCGAATCCAAACTGGAAGCTGGTTCCACAGAAGAGGGGCCTGAAAACTGAAGGCTCTGCCGTGTAAGACTGCAACTCTGCTTCCTGGTCCCAACTCTGGATAGTCATATTTTGGGGGGTTTAATAAATTTGTCCATATTTCTAGAAATGAGAGCTGCTCCATCCAAAGTGGGATGGATGCCGTCTCTCCTAACAAGACCAGGTTTCCTCCAGAAGGTTTGCCAATTATCTATGAAGCCCACATCGTTTCTGGGACACCACTCAGACAGCCAGCAATTTAAGGAGAACATGCGGCTAAACATGTCACTCCTGGTCTGATTCTATGTATCGTATTCTTTCAGATTGTGTTAATGTGAACTCTGTTTCATTAAAACAAAGGAAGATAAAAGAATAGCCAATAAAAGCATATTTCCATACATTTCTCTGGTATCCCTGCTGCTTGCAGATAGATCACGACTACATGGACAGCACGTAGGCTGCTAAATATAAACCTCAACAGGAGTTTCACAACACAGGCTGTGACACATGATTTTAAAGTCCTGGCAGGAAACACTTCCTCCAGGCTACAACTAAAAGTAAAGCAGACTTTTAAAACACTCACTTCTCAGCTCTACTCATTAACAAAAACAGCTGCTTTATTATCTGGAACACTTGAAAACATCAGTGTCATTACTATAGAGTGCAATCATAGCAGCACGGTTTGGACAGCACTGGGATTTCGGCACAATGCTGTGGAATAAAAGTGTGAGCAAACACCACAACCACAAAAAAAATTGCTTGTTGCTTTATAAGAAAGCCCTCCGTGAAGCCAGAACCTCTTACTTTTCATCACTGATTGAAGAAATGAGAACAACTTTAGGTTTCTCTTTAGCACTGTAGCCAGGCTGACCAAAAGTCAAAGCTCTGTTGAGCCAACTGTTCCTTGAACCTTAACTAGTAATGACCTTGCGAAATAAAATTTTAGCCATTAGAGAAAAAATCACTCATAATTATCTCACAGATTTAATATTAACATTATCTACAGCTACTTTCAGTACCATGGATATTCATTTAGTCTTTTTCCTCCAAACCATCAACATGTCTTTTTGGACCCCATTCCTACAAGACTGCTCAAAAAAGTCCTACTATTAATTAATGCTTGAATCTTGAAAATGATCAACCTATCTCTAATTATAGGCCAACCTCCAACCTTCCTTTCATATCAAAAATCCTTGAAAGAGTAGTTGTCACACAGCTAACAGATCATCTGCAGAGGAATGGTTTATTTGAAGAGTTTCAGTCAGGTTTCAGAGCTCATCACAGAAACAGCTTTAGTGAAGGTTACAAATGATCTTCTTATGGCCTCTGACAGTGGACTCATCTCTGTGCTTGTCCTGCTAGACCTTAGTGCAGCGTTCGATACTGTTGACCATAATATCCTATTAGAGCGATTAGAACATGCTGTAGGTATTACAGGTACTGCGCTGCAGTGGTTTGTATCATATCTATCTAATAGACTCCAATTTGTTCATGTAAATGGAGAGTCCTCTTCACACACTGAGGTTAATTATGGAATTCCACAGGGTTCAGTGCTAGGACCAATTCTGTTTACATTATCCATGCTTCCCTTTGGCAGCATCATTAGAAGACATAGCATAATTTTTTATTGCTATGCAAATGACACAACTTTATCTATCCATGAAGCCAGATAAAACACACCAATTAGTTAAACTGCAGGAATGTCTTAAAGACATAAAGACCTTGATGGCCTCTAACCTTCTGCTTCTTAATTCAGGGGTCACGATGCAGGCAGATCCAGAAAACCTAATCACAGAGACGAGAGTTACTCCAAAGCAAGGCTGGAAAACAACAGAATTCTACAGAGCCGGGCAATACTAACTGGAGTTACTCAATATGCATTTATTGCTTCTACTTTAGACTACAGTAATTTGTTATTATCAGGATGTCCTAAAAACTCCCTGAAAAGCCTTCAGTTAATCCAAAATGCTCCAGCAAGAGTACTGACAGGGACTAGAAAGGGAGAGCATATTTCTTCTATGTTGACTTCCCTTCATTGGCACTATGTTAAATTCAGTATTGAAGTCAAAATCCTGCTTGTCACATACAAGGTCTTAAATAATTAGGCCCCATCTTATCTCTGCTACACTCTGACCATGAAACCATAGCCACTGTGCACCAGTCACACTGTTCTTTACTTTAAATCCATCACAGTACAGTAAACTAACCTTTTTATCCTGCACTAAACTCCAGAGTATTCTTATGCAGCCTTTACATAGCAGTTAGTCTACCTCATTTTGTTTTGCAGCATATTTCACAATATGAAAAAACATAATGTCACATGTACAAATGTACACTCCATCTCTGAGCGAAGTTAGCTCTGAAGCTGGATCTTTAGCTAGCAACACACTCTTTGACAAACTGCACACAGTTTGTGTGTTTGCTGATGTTTGTTGAACAGATAGAAACAATTTATTTAAACTAACCTGCCACTTAAAAAAAAAGTCACTCCCTTTATGCTCTCTTCTCTTCAGTAGGGCGAGCTAGTTGCCAAGGTACCGCAACCACAACTTATGGAAACTTGCAGTCATTCCAGTGTTGTGTCAGTAAATAAACAAAAAAACAAAACAAAAACAAAACACTGTCCCACTTTTAACCCCTTTGGCACATGTAATCTCTTTTTATGCATCATCCTGGTGATTAATAAACAAACAGGAATCCCTTTCCTGTGTTACTGTTTGACCTTACATGGGTTTGATGTCTCGTCACAGTGACGAAATAATAATTCAACCCAAATGCATTTAACCAGAAGTAATGAGCCTGTTTTGAAAATGTAAGAAGTAGAAAGTACAGATATTTGTTTAAAAATGTAGGGAGTAAAAGTAAAAAGTACACAAAAAATAACTACTCAAGGAAAGTAAAGATACCTAAAAATTGTACTTAAGTACAGTAACAAGGTATTTGTACTTTGTTACTGTCCACATCTAGATACAGAGGTGGGAAGAAAAACTGAACAGAAAGAGGGGCCAAAGCAAACAAACAAAAATATATCTTAGGTTATGGACACATCAAATTAATTAAATCAATGTAATCAGAGTTTGTTGATTACATTGAACTTTGTTCTCAGGCTTTTGGGTTCTGTGGGCTTGAAATAATGTAAGAACTTGGAATTTGATTTGCATTTTCTTGATTCAGAGTTCTTAGACAGCTTAGATAGGATCAGACCCTCAAACCACTGAAGAAAATAACAAAGCAAGCAACAGAATTAGTCTGTTCAAAAGGCTGAATGATTATCACGTCAAAGGCTGGTGATTTCTCAATAGCTTTTTCACTGTCTGTATGAAAGGGGGACATTATCATGTGTAGTGAATAGGAGCATGAGGACCCAAATGCAGACACACAGATGTGGATTGTGGTAAACAAAAGGAAAAATGTTTAATTAGGCTGATGAGTAAAATACATTATGGTGAAAAGTAAAGTACCTGAGGAAATTAGAAACACTAATATAGTATATAAACTAGGGCAAGAAAACACTGGAACTACAAATGAAAGGTGACTGACATTCTGACAATAGACAAAGGGAGACTGACACAATATATATAAACAGGAGGGTGATTAATTGAGTAGAGACAGCTGGGGAACACAGCATGAACAAATCAGGCATAATGACATGGGGGGAAAAACTGAACATAATGGACATGAGATGAGGGACTTTCAAAATAAGACGGGAAGTACCTAATGCAGAGACCAGGGCTCTGTCCCAATTCAGGGTCTGCATGCTTGAAGTACGCATTTCAAGTGCGGTTACGTCACCGCCACGCGACGACGGCTGTCCCAATTCGAAGTGTACTTCAAATGCATACTCCAAATGTGCCGTCGATTTCCCCAAATATCAAGCGTGGTCCGGTGCACGCTTCGTGGTCCCATATATCCCACAATTCATAGCGCGGCGGTGGGTGTGGATAATTTTGCCGCAAAATACGGCAGAAGGGAGCGGCCGAAGAGGGTTTTTTTTTTCCTCCAAACTTTATTGAACTTATAAAGCGAACAGTCAGTCATTCCAGTTCAGTTTGTACAGTAGACATACAAGGCAAATAAGAGTAACAATATACAGTACAATGAAATAAGATGGATAAATAAATAAAGGATAGAAAAGAAAAAAAAGGGGGGGAATGTGACAGACTTCATAACAACTTTGTACTTGAAAGTTGTGACAGCTCATTCGTTAAACATTTCTGAATGAATTTAAATCAATGATAAACCTTTTTTATTGGAAGTTAATTTAAGAGAGTTTAAGTAATATTCAATTTCAATCAAAAACAAATTAAATGATGGGGTTGAGTTTTGAAATTTACATTTATGTACATGGAATTTCCCTAATAAGATGGAGCGGCCGAAGAGTGAACTGTCAAAAGTACTGAATATGACGTCCCTTATTTATGTGTGAATGTTTAATAATTAAAGTCAGTCATATATCCACAAACACAACAAGCTGAAAGTCAGTGATATATGTATATGTGTGTGTGTGTATATATTAGGGCTGCCACAAACGATTATTTTGAGAGTCGACTAGTCACCGATTATTTATGCGATTAGTCGACTAATCAGATCATCATCCACTGGACGTAAAACTACAGCTTATTGCAGCAGCAGCATCTGCTCTTATATAACTATCATTAGCTTACAGCTTTAAGCTTTTAAGGTGCTAACTAAAAATAAAGACAAGATGATAGTTTATTTAATTTTAATGAAATTTGCAGATTGTTTCGGTGAAGTTTAATAAACTCCTTGCTATCTAAAATATAACAGGACACCGGAGTAAATTCTCGAGCATCTCACACTTCTGATAATCAGCTGTCTGCTTGATGTTTATTCAGCTGTGTAAAAACTATAACTTTAATCTCAGACAAACCGATTTACTCAGGAACAAATAAAATACAAAAAAAAAAGAAAGAAAAAAAAGCCAAACAACAACATTTTTAATTTATCTAAGTGACTCATATATATTTAACCTGAGTAGCGAAAGACGGCGGTGGGTTTGAAAACAATTTGCCGGGAGTCCGGTGTTCTCACCGCGCTAGTGACCTAGCCCCCGGCTAGCTATCGAGCTAGTGGGTAACAGAGGTCTCCGAAAACGTCGGAGCGCTTTTGAAAATATGTGGTGTCTTGATAAACTGAGCAGATATTTGAGGTTTACACAGCTACATTCTCGGCTGAAAATATGTTAAACGTTTATTTTGTGACCCAGAAAGAATAATAAGAGTAGTGACAGTAATATTAAAACTAACTAGCTGCCGCCATTGTTGGAAACTAAGCTGGGCTTATTAGCTATGAATTCTGGGACACAGCTGCTTCTTCTTCTTCTTCTTCGGGGTTTAACGGCAGCTGGCATCCTTGTACATGCAGTGCTGCCATCTTCTGTTTCAGTCCGTTATTACACTCTTAAATCCTACTACTCATTCCTGCGTCCTTTGTGATCTTACAAAGCTTCAAATGACGCATCGACTATTAAATCAGTCGTCGACGATTTTGATAGTCGACGTAATCGTGACTAGTCGACAAATCGTGGCAGCCCTAGTATGTATATGTATATATATATATATATATATATATATATATATATCATAATAATCTGACAATGCTATAATATTGGCCATATTATATTTACATTACCACAGTGAGATGACTTTAGTCTCATGAACAACATTAACTAATTGTTATTTACTAACTAATCTTAACCCTTGTATGGTGTTCGGGTCTGTGAGACCCGTGTTCAGTTTTTTTCAAAAGAAAAATTAAACAATTAATTATTTTTTCACATGTAAATGTGTTGTGTCTTTCCACTCACTCCACTTGATTATAACTGATTTATTTCTAACATTTTATATAAAAGAAAAACGAGAAGCACATTAATTCATAAATGTGATCTAACAAAGGTAAAGGGAAAAAATTAACCATGTTTGCTGTTCATATGTCTTGTAATTGGGATGAAGTAAACATCTGTTGAGTAATTTAACATAAACTTGTTTGATAGTGTTAATTTGGAAAGCCAAAACTCTAGCGGGTCCACCAGACCCATGAACACTGGCTGAGTAACAAAAATACGAACACCACACAAGGGTTAAATGACTGTTCAGCACAGAAATGAAGCCCAACAATCATGTTTTACAGTCCCGTGGTCTCAGCCTCAGATACTCAACTAATCAAAGTGATGTCATGACAAAAATGAATGACTAACAAAACATTGTTCTCCTTCATTTCTGTCAAACAAAGCTGTATGTAACGTGTCTCGCGGTTAGTATCATGGTTGCTAGGCAACCTGAACAGCGCGACGAAGCGTATACTGTCCCATTTCACAAGCCTCTCACTTCCGCACTTCTCGTACTTATAGTACGCACCGTACGTAGTACGCGTAGTGCGCGTAGTGCGCGTACTTCAAGCGTGCAGACCCTGAATTGGGACACAGCTCAGGACTGAGACATACGAGCTGAATGTAGACAAAAAGGTAAACAAACATGGAGACAAGACTGACTGGCACTGGAGACCCAGACAGCAAGACACAGAAACAACACGAGGACATGAACGAAATCAAACAGTAACCAAGAACCAAAAATATAGATAATAAAACTCAGAGGCACTAGGAAGTACTCAAACTTAAACATAAATATCTCTTAAATCTAACAGAGACTCAAAATGCTGGGTCATAGACTCAGGACCATGACAGATATAGCCTCCAGGTCTGAAAACTGAAGCCTTCGCAGAAACAAACTCCATAGCAGCTCCACAAAGTCCAGCTGGAAAAACAAAATTGGAGAAAATGATGGCAAAATTGGAGAACTTGGTAGCGACAGTGAACAAAGTATTAAAATTGGAGCTGATGTCTCCATCTCTAAATGCGTGCAAGGCGGACTTAATAAGCAACCCATTCATTGCAAATGAGAGGGACTCATCCAATGCCTCAAACAGAGAGAAAGGAACTAGGAAGACATTAGTTTGTAGTAATGGCACTGGAAATTTCACAATTTCACATTTCATCCTCAGTCACCCATAGGAGAACTCTTGCCACTCAGCGACTCCGAGGAGCAATGACAAGCAAATGGACCCTCAACTCAGAATATGACGTATGTCACGGCGGAGTCGGTGTCACAGATGACTGAAAAAACTAAAAATGTTAAAGAACTAATAAAAGCTTTACATGGGGGGGAAAGGGAGGGAGGAGCTTTCCTATTTCTACTCTAGTGTGAATGCACAATTGAGTTAGATGAAGATCTGAGCAGCCGAGCAGACTTTAAAGCTGCTACTTACAGTTACACATTCAGTCATGTTCTTGTTCTCACTAACTGCACATTTCTTTGTGACCTCTGAGCTGAGCCAAGAAAATGAGAAGGAGCTCCAGGACTTAAGTTATTCGCACAAAGCAACACATTCACACATACACAGACAGACACAAGAATGCCCTTAAACAACCTCCCAACCAGCAATGGAGACTTAGACACAGCCCCATATAAATGGATTTAATCATACACACAACAGCATGCACACAGGCACACACACATGTGCATGTACACAGACAGACACACACTTCTCCATTACCATACCCAACGTCATCTCTCCCTCATTCGGCTTCCTCTCTCTGACTGTGATTAATCCTCATTGTCTCTTCAAGGTTATGGGGGTGCACACATACACACACTCATACATGCTTATGTGTTTCTATGACAGCTGCGGTTCCCACACCCGTCTCAAAACCAACAAAGGAAAAAGCCTGAAAGCTTCTGGTTGTGTGTAGGTGCATACATATGTGACAGGATATGAGAGACAGAGTCAGTAAGAAAATGATGGAACGATTTAAGAAATCACTTTTTTTCTCTGGATGTCAGCTTGCATATGTAATAATTTGCTAATAAATACTGCTGATGTGTGCTGGGGCACAGCAAACAGGTCTGTTAGAAGATGACCATCTTATTCATCCCTGCATCTGTCATCTTCCTCTTTTTCTGTACAGGAAATGAAGGTTGAAGAGCTCAGCACTGTCAGACAGGCATTACAGGCGGACCTGGAGACGTCCATCCGGCGCATCGTTGATCTTCAGGCTGCCCTAGAGGAAGTAGAATCGAGTGATGACAGCGACACTGAAAGGTAATTTGCCCTCACTGAGGTAGCTCCTCTCAGGTTCAGTGATGATATTTGTATGTCTGAACTCAACTTTCACCAATCTGCCCTTCAATCCAGTGTTCACACTGCTGTGGAGTCCTTTACTCAAAAGAAAGACCTGTAAGAAACTCTTGGCTGTGTGTGTGGCTGTGTATATGTGTATGACCTAAAAATATCCGAGCTTGAAGTGTTCTTATTATGCATATTGTTGTGATAATAAATAACAGGATAAAAAAGACATAGACTTCAACTAGCTTTGGCCTTGATTTCCATCATATCCATGCATATCACCAAAGTCAATGCACAATTAAGTCAGCTACACCTTAACCCAAAGGATGAAAGTCATTACATAGATGTGTAAATTGGATATTAATTTACTAACGACCATCAGGTCACCAAGGTTAGGGTTGAGTTTTGTTTTAGCTGTGTGTGTGTGTGTGTGTGTGTGTGTGTGTGTGTGTGTGTGTGTGTGTGTGTGTGTGTGTGTGTGTGTGTGTGTGTGTGTGTGTCTCCATCCATTTTCTGCTGCTTATCTGGATAGTGGGGGGAAGCAGTCTAAGCAGAGAAGCCCAGACTTCCCTCACCCCAGCTACCTTCTCCTGCTCATCTACGGGAACACCAAGAAGTTCCCAAGCCAGCTATGAGATATAATCTCTCTCGTGCAAATTCTGGTTTCCCCCAGGGGCCCCCTACTGGACATGCTCAGAATAACTCACCTATGAGGCGTCTATCTTAGTCAGATGCCCAAAATACCTCATCTTGCTCCTTTTGATATGGAGGAGCAGCGGCTCTACTCCGAGTCCCTCTCGTATGACCAAGCTCCTCACCCACCCTCTCTCTAAGGGACAGTCCAGCCACTCTTCGAAGGCTACTTGTGTCTGTGACTTCATTCTTTCGCTCACTGCCCAAAGGTCATGACCATAGGTGAACGTAGGAATGTAAATTAACTCTTTAATTGACAACTTTGCTTTTATGCTCAGCTCTCTCTTCACCCCAACAGATTGGTGCATTTGCATCACTGCGGACTACTCTGCTTCCACAATAGAAGGCACAACTATGGTATTGAGGAGATCCTCCTCACTTTGTGTGTACTTTTCACTGCCTGATTATAGCCTCAGTTGAGGTAAGCAGTGTTCCACCAAAGCTGTAGACGGTGTGTGTGGAATTCCCTTCCTACTCGTGGTGACGCCTTTAGCCTGAAACCTCTCTTCATCTGTGGTGTCCACCATCTGGTTCTGGCATTACCACCAGAATCAGTTGTCAGCTCAGCACTTCTCTTCACCCAAGTGCCCAAGACAGATGGCTGCAGATCTGATGTTACAATTATAAAATCAATCATCAACCTGCAACCTCAGATGCCTTATGTGCTTATAAACACCTTTATGCTCTAACATGATGTTTGTCATTGACAAACTGTGGTTAGTACAGAAGTACAATAACAAAACACAAGTCCCCCAGGGGAACCTTCATTTTATGCGATTTCTTTGTTGTGTCTTGTATATATGCTTCTATGACAACTAATTTTCCCTCTGAGATTACTAAAGTAGGCTAATGATTGCTGTATTTCATAGTCAGTATACATAGCCAGTCTTGTTAATGATCTGGCTGAGGGGGTTGCAATGGGGACAGAGCACCTCCTTGGTGAACCCCTCACTTGATTATGACTTGTGCATTTGGCTTGAAGTTTGCCTCTTGTGTTTTCCTTCACCTCCATTGGATTCCTAAACGAGGCTCTTAGGGTCCTGGTAATATCATACAACATTCCCGAATCCTTGTGCAAGGCATTGAGTCATAGGCTCTGATAGAGGACTCGAACTCAAGGACCTGTCCCCTAGTTTACAAAAGCTGTGTATTAGCTGTGTATTGAAAGAGACGTGGACGTAAAGCATGCAAGGAAAAGACAGAGTTTGAACAATTGTACAACTCTCTTAGGCAGCTTTCACTACTTTGTTTAAGATATCTTGAGGAATAGTTTTCCAGACATCTTGAAGGATATTTAAAGTGGTTGTTTGGATTTTGGCTTCTTTTTGTCCATTCTCTGTTGAGATAATCCTACGTTGCTTTAATAATGTTGAGATCTGTGTTCTGGGAAGGCCAATCCATGACTGGAAAATGGACTTCCACCTCTCCCAGTCGGTTAAGCTGCAGTCAGTTCCGATGGAAGGCTTGGACCGAGAGGCAGCTCAGCATCTGCTGGCTCTAAAATGATTTGAACTCTGGCGCTATACATCACATGTACCCGGCCGATTCGGCCAACGGACCAACTGTTCATTTCTTTGCATCCCGGGATCTCGGGCAGGCCCCTGTCCAAGTCCTGGTTGTCCCACTGTGAGGTACAGGCAATCCAGCAGACTTGTGCCTCAGTAGAAGTTCCTCTCCCCTCAACCAGTGAGGGTGGAGGGGTGCCTCCCTCTCTGCCATTTGTGCGGCAGTGACATGGTCCCCAACTGCCACCTTTATGTGGTTTTCCCGCTTGAACATGGCAGCCAGCCCCTCTTTCGCGGAGCAGGTTCTGGGTGCCCATCAGCAGTAGCCGTCATTCTGGGGGGGGGGGAAGCATTTAAACTGCATTTCAATTCAAGACAGAGAAACAAAAATAATATCCCTGGCCAAAACTGGGAAGACTTAAAAATAAAGTGCTATTTTAAGTACTTTAAGTACATTTTCAGAATGGTATTGTCTTTAAATAAAAATAATAAAAAGTCTACATAAAGTGCAGTTTTTCTTGTTAGAAAAATAAGGCAGAAAGATAAAAGGTCATTTGACCAGCTTCACCTTTAAACTCTGAGTAACCTTAGCCAAAAGTATTTTGTACATTAGGCTAAAACAATGTGATCATGGAACATTTTAGTGCAAAAAATAACAAACCCATTGGACTCACAATACCTCCATGCTTATTTATTGTTCATCTCTTTCAGCCAGTTACTTAGACAAACTAGCCTGTTCACATTTTCAGAGCTCAAGGCAGCTCTCTTTTTTTGTTACTATGTGACCTGCAAGTGATAACAGTCTGTCACATGGGACAGAAGTGGCAGGACTAATTTAATACTTGCGGGCCAGGACAGACAGTTGTGGGTGAGTGCCTGCTCGGCTGGACCACAACTGCAGTTTGCTCGCTGATGGTGGGTTCTGCTCTGTACAAACTCAGGGCCCCTGTTACACAGGGCTTCCTCATCTGAATCAGAATCTGAAGCCAATGAAGACAAGAGAAGGCTCTTTGTCTTTACTGGCGCCTTTGTGGTGGCATCTTTACACTGTTCCTGCAACAGGGCCTCAAGGCTGGTCCAAACCTCTTCTCGCTCTCCCCTCGCAAGACACTTTAAATTCTTAAAGCGTGGGTCAAGCACAGTAGCTGTCTTGAGCCACTGGTGGTTGAGTGTAGCTACACGTTGGGATAGGTCCTTTGTGAAGGCAGTCACCATGTAGTTTGAGTCATCATCAGAGACCTCCATGGTGTGATGCAGGTGGCAGAAAGAAGTTAAAACAATTGAATATGAGACATATGTCTCACCTCCAAGAAGCTGAGTCACAAACCTGTAGTAGACATTTCAAGAAAGTATTTTTTAATCTACACAATAACTGTCAACTATAGAGCTTTTTGAAGAAACAGTAACAATAAGTTAAAAAATAGTTTTATTTACCTGCATGGCTCAAGGATAGTCTCCAGCTTTTGGAGTTTTACCAGCTCTGATGGAGTTAAAATGACTAGCTTGTGCTTTTGTTTGTCTAAAGCAGCAAAAACAGCCTCTTGATTCTTTAGTAGATGAAAAAACATATCCAGCATTTAATTCCACCCTGTGGAAACATGTTGTATGAGTGGTTCTTTCTGTTGCCCAAGTCTTGTTTCCTCCTGGTGTAATTCCTCTGTATCAGCAGGGCTGTGTTTAAAGTGACCCACTATCTTGCAACATTTTGCTAATGCATCACTAAAACCACTATCAGCAGGGCTAACAGTGAGGGTTGTTTGCAATATGTGAGCAACACAAAGCATGTGATGGAATGGGAGGTGCTGCAGCCACCATGGTTCGTGCACTGTCTGTCCCAATTGTGGTTACCTTTTGTTGAATTCCCCATTCTTCTGCCAAAGAGAGAAACTACTCAGCGCAGTTTTTGGAATAGTTTCTGATGTTTGTCTTCTGCACAGTCAGGGCAAAAGACTGTAATATGTGCAGTGACTCCGAGATAATTAGAATTACTAACAGAATGCAATCCAATCCAATATAGTTGTATTTATATAGCACATTTTAAAACCCGAAGGCACACCAAAGTGTTTCACAGTAATACGAAGAAACAACATAAGTCAATAACAGAGTACAGATCGGGCACTAGCACAGACAGAATGGAGGCACTAATAGACCGGAAGAGTTAAGTAGAATAGGTATCAAACCTCAATACAGGAGGAAGGTCAGATCGTGAATACAACATATCTACTAAGAAGATAAAAACAGCAGTAAAATTAATAATAAAATAATACATTTAATAAAAAGTTTAAAAAGGGTATTAACTGGTCAGAAAAGCCAGGTTAAATAAGTATGCTTTCAATTTTGATTTAAAGGATTGGATAGAGTCTGTGGCACGAATAGAAGCAGGAAGGCTATTCCAAAGGTTGGGTGCAGCTGAAGCAAAGGCACGATCGCCTCTGGTCTTCAGTCTAAACTTAGGTTGGGCCAGGAGTAATTGACCTGATGATCTTAGTGCATGACAAGGAGTGTACAGATTGAGGGGGAGTCCAGTGATCCCCACTAAGAGCCACAAAGTCTGTTTTTTGTAATGCATCTAATTTTTCTTGTTTTTCAGTGTCATAAAGCTGTTGAATTTTACTTGAATAGTCTGTTGCCATGGCAGTTGGAAAGTTGGATCACCTGATGCTAACTGTAGCACATTTTCTAACCCCCTATCTACTACACTGATAGTGGTCTACAGTCCAGAGCAATCCATTTTGTAAGAGAATTTGTAAGTCATTTTTTCAAGTTTGGGCTGCCGACACCTTTTGTTGGTACTCGAACTGGGACTGCTAGTGCTAACAGCTCCCACAGTTTCCGTGCTCGCTGCAACATGTTTTGCATTTAGATGGTAAGGTTGAGGTGCTTTGGTGGTATGCAAACTCCTTTTTGCACAGTTTGCACAAAATCACACTTTTATGAAGGGTTGGGTAGTCTTTTGAAATTAAATTTGCCTCCGATCAGTCCTAGCAACACGCTTTCTTCAGATTCTTCTATTTTTGTAGGCCGCTCGGAGAAATTTCCCACGTGTGGGATTAATAAAGGTTATCTTATCTTATCAAACTATCACTGGTTTCACGCCTGCACAGCTTGCTTTACATGTAATCTGTGGGGCGTGGCCCGGCTAGCCGGAGTGTCTTCAAGAAGTATCCATACTTCTATGTATCATACCCCATACATATGGAATATGTAATGGAGTGGAGAGATAGTCTCTCACTCAGAGAACCATGGTTACAATGTAACCGTACGTTACATTTGGTGAGTATAGTATTGTTATTGATACTTATAATAGTCAAAAGTATTTAGTTATCCTTCAAGGCGATTGAGATATGAAAGTGTCATGTTGGGCTCATTGGCAGGCAACGGTAGGACTGAAACACAGGACTCCAAAACGGACTTTTTTTTTATTTAGCTGAGAAAGCAAACTAAAAATCAAAGTACAAAGAAACACAAAAAGAAACAAAAGATAAACTAGTACTAAGAAACAGGCAACTCACTGGAAACTCACAACTAGACATAACTAGGGAACATGGAAAACACACGAGAAAAACACAGCCAAGGTGGAGAACACCAGAATAAACAGGGCAAAACTGAAGACTTAAATACACACACACACACAGGATAACCACGGGATGGGAAACGGGTGAGAAGACAGCTGGGACTAATCAGACAGAGAGGAATCAAAACTGAATACACTGAACACAGGACAACGGACTATCAAACTAAAACAGGAAGCAAGAGACACATACTAAGATGTGGCCTGACTGAAGACAAGGAACACAGGAGGAGCAAGATGGCGTGTGAGACACGACAGGGGAACAAATTAATGAACACGGAGACAGAACTATCCAAGGAACAAATTCAAATTTTATTTGTCACGTACACAGTCATACACAGTACGATATGTA